TATATTGTTTCTTTTGAAGACCAACAGACCAATGCAATAACAATTTGGGAATATCCATCTATTCAATTATATTTTTTGGTCAAATAATACACATTTCCATAAATAAAACATATAGGACACTCACCTACGTGATTGGATTTAGGATGTTCATTGATAATCTCTTCATTTAGAATATTTCCAAAATATACAACACACATGAAATGCAAGACCAAAATAATAAATGTATATTAGTCTTACTTATAATATAAAACAAAAGAAATCTTACAAGTTCAATGTGATTGGACAGATTGACAATGTGTTCATGACACAAATGAAAACATAAAATATAAAATTAAATGTTTACACATTCTGCAACTCAGGATACTTTCGCTTATGAGAGTCCCACAAATACTAAAGTGCTACATATAATGATTTTTTAAATATGTAAATGCATTTCAACTTCCTATCTAATTTATTTTATATAAATTCTGAATATATAAAAATAATAACTTGATATTATGTTATACAATGAAAATAACAATGTTAACAGGTGTCTCTTCCATATTGATTCACGTGGGCATCACTTCATAATCTATAAATGTTAAACACTTGAAGTAACCTTACAAGTCGTTTTAAAGTTTTATGTCCAAAAAGTATTTCTTTAAAACTGAATTGTGTTTTGTAACATTTGTATATTAATCGAAGAAAACCTAAACATCTTTCTGTAAGCTTCAATGGTAGTGAGTCAAAGTGATGTTCATCAGGATTAGCCATGGAAGATAATTGTCTATGCTTCCTGTGGAGGGCAGTAGTTACTTTAGCATTAATAACTATAATGATTCTAGAAAATTCATTCATTAATGTATAATAAACTCTGACAGATGATGTATACGTCAGTTGACTTCTGTCTTCATACTTAACCCTGACAGAACTTAGGCATTGTTTAGAAATTAGTGTTCTTACAGAGTTAGTACGGATATCATCATGACTCAGATGAGTATCTTTTCATTCAGCATACAGTTTAATGTAAGTTTGTTATGACTCTATATTGTTGTATTGAAAAAGTCATCTTGAAATTTCGTGTTTAAGTTTTACAAAATGTACCTATGTATCCTGTGAAGAAGTTTGAAGATTTATGAGAATAATTATATACTTCATAGATTTTGATCATCTGGTATCCACACTAAAGAGCTTTCACAACTTCACCTGTCAATCAGGTTTCAATCATAGAGTTTTATTGGGGTAATTCTATTCTGTTTACAATTCCAAGATATAAACTGGACCATAGTAACATAAATTAACAACAGCCAAGTAAAGAAACAATAGAATAGTAAATATAAATGTACACGTTATATTTATTAATTGTGTCTTTGTTGTTGTTGTTGTTTTTAAAGAAAGGCTGTTAATTTTTTGACAATTTATATTGTTTTCGTTGTCAGTGGCTTTAACAACTGAAATATAACAGGAGTGATAATGTCTAACCATGTGTTCAGTTAATCTGAATATATTAGCTATTTGGGTGTCAGTCCATCCCGAAATTGTAGCAGCTTCATTTATTGCACCAGGAGCAAAGGTGAAGTTGGTTAATTAACATTTAATTCAATACGTATCATGTGTATCCACAAATTTGTTTTAGTGAGTAGCATTTCTTTACTATCCCCAAGATGTTAAAGTGTTTTGAAGTGACATTTGTGTCACAGTCCTGTAAACAGTGGCAAAGGATGGACGACTGATTATATGCCGTGTTTTGCGCTCGGGTTATTTTACATTATTAATATAAAAATAAATTGGAAATTACCTTCCACTTTAGAGCTTAGTTCCCTGTGTTGTGGAAGGTCTCACTATAACTACATACGAACGTATTTCATACATTACAAAAACAAACAAAACAATATGATAAACTTGATATAGTTAGGTTTGCCTATTAAATAAATACTTAACAATAGATATTGTTTAAAGTGAATTGGTAATTGCATAATTATCCATAAAAATAAAGATACTTCTTGTGCTAAATTATTATAAGATTTTAGATTACATTCTTTACTATTCCTATGATTTATTTAATTTAGGCTTAGTTATTTTTTTTATTTACCATAATTATTTATGTACTTATCTCCAATTATTTATCCACTTCTTGTTTTTAATTCAAATCAATAAAATACTTTTTAGACTGTTTTAAATTGTTTTGGTTTATTTATTGTACGTGTTTGTTCCGGAATTGTATTAAAAAGTTTCGCACTCACAAAATGTGATGTCTAAGCTCTACCGTTGTTATTCTCCTAGGTAACTCATACACACCCTTAACTACTCCTCGTGTGTTACCAGAATGACCTAGCCACTTTAGTTGGTGTCTCCCACTACCCAATCTTATCAATGGACTTTTTAAAAACATCTTCTTAATATTTAATATAGACAGCTGCTTAAACAGAGGCCTAGACAGTTCCATCGATTCCTTTCTAAGCATTGCCCTTATTATATTTTTCTGCAATATGGCTAACTGCATTTGTTTAGCGTCAGCGGCCGCTCCCCAAACTATGATTACATACTGCAAAATAGAGTCAACTAATCCATAATATTGTTATGTCTCCGTTTGTTAATTAACTTTCCGTAACTTCGTTCCGACGAAACTTTAGTGTCACAAGTTGTTTATTTTTTAAAATTGGTTT